TATATCATATAATTTTCTTACTGAAAAAACAAGACAAAAATACTAATTAAGAGAAAAAAGTATTTTCAGTATAACATTACTCTGAGGATGGAGCTTTAAACTTCACATGACCTGCTAAAGAAGTTCAAAAATGTCTGATGTCTTGCATATCCAGATTCACAAATGATCACCTCTAAACATTACTTCTGTTTTCTCTTCTCTCAGTACATTCTGAACGAGATAGAGGTGGAGGCGAAGACAGAACTGTGGATGAAGCAAAATGAGGAGTATTTGAAGGAACAGAAAGGTAAGCTAAAAGAAGAAGAAGAGCTTAGTCCCTGTGCATTTATTAACACAACCCGATTTGACGTCAGAGGCATGTGTCTAACCAGGGAACTGCTCAGCCATAGAGATTAAAAAATCTGTGAAAGGAAGGATTTTGTTTTTTAAATACTCAATTGGCACAGTGAAACTACTTCAATTTCATCCCACGACTGAACCTTGTGAGATTAGGCTCGATATTCAAACAATACGTAAATGAAAAACACCTGTGATAACTAAAAGATTGACCTTCTGAAGGTAATCTGCTCAAAAGATTGTTGAGGTTTTTAAAGCCCTTTATTTTGTATTGCTTTTTGTGTCTACTCTAAAAATGCTCCATTTGATAAAGCCATTGTGCTCACATTTGGTTTTACTTTTTCAGAAAAAGAAGAAAGAATAGCTAAAGAAAAGGAGCAAGGGACCTATAAGGAGAAGGTGAGTAAGTCATGAGCGCGTGTATATGTGTGTGTCTGGCTCTTACTTATGTCGACATGGGCTTCTCTCCCATTCCGAGGTTTTTATTCACTCAGCTGCTAGGGATCCTAGGAGACCGCATACTTTCCATTTGAACTTCGTTTGCTCCTCTGGTTTCACCCCAGGCTTTCAGTGCCGCCTCTCCTTAACCTGTCTGCTCTGACATCTGCACTGTGACTCCCAGTTGAGCTTGGATTAGACAGCCCTGCTCTGCACCTCTAATGAGGTGCCTTGAGCCTGATAGCAATTTCAGATACAGTCGTCCACTTGCTGAGTGTGAAGTGACTTGTTACACTTTGGGAGACGAGGAACATGGTCAGCGATGACCAGATCAGATGAGCTTGATTGCTTTTCCAGGCTACTAATGGGATTCTGTGGGACAGCTGTTAGTCTGACATCATTATATCAAGCCCCAATAGAGAAAATGCACTGTTTAAATGATCAGTCTCCCCCCCCCCCCCCCCCAATCAAATGAAAATCCTCACTTAATAAATTAACAGCATGTCAATGGACTCTACGCTATGAAGCAGAGCCAACCAAGCTCTGACCCCAATGTTTGTTTTTCACTGTAAACAACTTTTTATCTCAATTTGTGTAGCCAAAGAAGCCGTCCAAGAAGCGAGAACCGATCCTGGCCAGCACTGCGGGAGAGGCCATTGAGAAGATGCTGGAGCAGAAAAAGATTTCCAGTAAGATCAATTATGATGTTTTGTGGGACCTCAACAGCAAGGGCAGCGGGAGCAACACCACCCAGCAAGCCGAGGACGTGCCCGCCGGTGGCTCTGGACGCAAGAAGTTGACCCGCCGCAAGAAGCAGCCAAACAAGAGCAATCTTGGGCTTGCTAAACCTGCAAGCCTCATGGGCAAGAGGTGAGAATTTAATGAATAGGGAATCTGTTGTTGTTGTTTTTTACTTGGTTACTGTTGGCTCACACTGTGCTTTGCAAACCTTTTCACTCCCAGAAACCACTAAGTCTGTCTTTATGTAGTAACTGGGACCCACTTCAAGTGGTAAAGAGCCTCTTTTGTTCCTCAGACAAAGGACATGATAAAAAAAGGCAGTTCCCTTGCCCTTGGAGGACTACATTTTTCTTCTTGTCGGCCTCCAACATTTTGTCTTTGCTTTGCTTCTTTGGCTGACCTTCACAGTCATTTCCACCAGGAGAAAGCTTGTCATCAATTCAGTGCCAGGACTGTCTGTCTGCCATCACCTGGCACCCTGTAGTGCATGCTGGGAGCCTGCCCCTTCTCCAATTAATAGTCCTCCAGGGCTCCAAACGTCCCTGCGAGAGAAGTAATGAATATACGACAGACGGAGCGCAAGATCATGACTTCTACACTTTGGCATTGAAAGATAATTTCTCATTGAGTGATGCCTTTCCTCCAGTCCATTTCGTTAATGATAATTACTAATTTCATACTGAATGGTGAGATGATGATGAATCAGACATACGAACACTGTCGGAGACCTCATATTCTGAAGCTTCGAAAAGGCAATTTACTGTCCCCTTTCTTTTGAATCTTATATTCATGATTGTGTTTGAAACTATGCAACTCTCACATTAGTTTTATTACATTTGATATTTTTTAAATATAAATATAATAGATATCCTGAAGATATAAAAACATAGCTGGCGAGAGTGCTAGTGTTATCATTTGCTTTGTATGGTGGGAATGCAGTATATTTTTTAAAATTCTTATAATTTTTTTGTTAAACTACCTTTAAAAGGATCGGGGTCTTAAGTCTCTTATGCTTCCCTAGGCCACATTTATTTGATGATAAAAACTATAAAAACAACAATATTGTTAAATATTATTACAATAAAATAAAATAAAATGATTCTTTGATTATTAGAACATTCAATAGAATAGAATTTTTTAAGTCAATTTTTTTAATAATGTTAAAAAAATCATACTAATCCCAAACTTTTCTATTTTTATCACTTTTTATCGAGTACATTTTTTTCTTTTTCTTTTTTTTTATTAAGGAATTCTGTGTTTAAGACCATAGGGTACTTCAATTTTTAAGCCTTATAAAGCTTTTTTTATTTACTTTATTTGTTAATATAATACAAAGATTTATTCATGTAAACCCCAATTATTGCAAGGCATGATGTAAGTTAACTTACCTTGCTGGAAGTCTTGTTCACCCCATCAGCTGGCCGAACCAGCAGAGGCTAGTGTAAACATATTAAATCATCATAGTCTGATGACACTGTGCAACAAATTGGACGATAAACTTGAATTTAGTTCCTGCTCCAGTTGAGAAAGCTTGTTCCCACTCTTGTTGAATCATGGGAACATTTGTAATGAGCTGCTAAGTGAGGGCAAATACTTTTTAGTTCTGTTGCCACAACTTGCAAGTAAGATATTTCACGCAGTACTTTTAGAAACAAATGGTTCAAAAGAACAACTAGCCCCTTTTCTTTTCTGGATTGACTGAAGTATGCTGAAAGAAATGTCTAAAATTGCACATCATTCACAATGCATGGATTACTCTCTGTCAAGGAACTCTCACTCCAGCTGATCAAAGCAAATTTCTTCAAATATATTTTGGTATACAAGTAACTGGTATACAAGTTATTTTGGGATGTTGAATAGACTAAAACAGTTCTATTTGCCGGCATCTTTTTCACTGCCTTTAGCAGCTCCCAGACTCCTTCTAGACGCTCCGCTAACCAGGTAGAATCAGACTTCCATCCCCCTTTTCCAGCCTCAAACACCAGCTGCCAGATTGAACCTCCCTACGACCTCCAAACTAACAGTAACGAAGAAGCTCTCCTCTTGAAAGATAAGAAGATAATTGGCATCCAGTTCCTTTTCTTTAAAGTCTTTCCTCCTTTTTTCACCTCTTCAAACCCCCTTCCTTTTCTACTCTTGTCTTTTAGTAAAGGATTACCGTTCTTAAAAGTGCCGGGATTTGCTTTTTGAAGTGTGAATCTGATTTCGATGCACGGGGATGACCTGTCTATGCCTCCTCTCTCAGCGTACCTCAAAAAAAGTGACAGCACGACAGAACGCTTCACCTCCCAGCTCCAGCGTGCTGTCTGATCCTTTTTCTGATCCTCGTTTTACAGTAACAGCTACCGCTTTAAAATCAGACCGAAGATTTGAGGAGCAGCATCGACCCTGGGGACTTAGGGGGAAGTATATCTATTTCTGCTGTGGTTTTTCAGCTCCAAGACAACATGAGTGGTGATTGATTTGTAAATGTTAATTTAAGACGGAATGAGTTAGAGTTGTTCCTGAGATATGCTTTCAACCAGGCCTACACTGAGTAAAGTTCACAGCACCTCTCATTTACTTTGCCTGGCGCATCCGGAAATAGCTCGTGAGCCTGTGTGCCCTCTTGTGTTTCGCAGATCATCCCTTTCTGTTTGACCCGGCTCAGTTTCCCACACTAAAATTTCATTGTTTCCACCCTAACATTAGTCCACTTCCAGCAGTATGGCTTTTCGCTCATTATTACAGTGGGCTCTCAATGTCCATATTGTTTGAACCCGTCATTTTGCGTTCTACAGGGCAGGAAACCAAGGCAACCGACCGTGGAGTGTGTCGTTCAGTCCGTCTCAATGGAGCTCCTTGTCGCCAAAAACCTTTCACCTCCTCCTAGCAACTAGATCAGCAGAATGAGTCATTTTGTGTGTTTCTAGTGTGGTCACGTTGACCCAGGACAGCATGGAACCGTCTGGCGGTAAAGCAAAGTTCTCTGAAGACTTTTGTCACAGAAAATCTCTTGTGGTTGTACTTTAGGCCTAAGTGAGATACGACGGTAGGAAGGACCTCTTAGGATCATCTTGGGCCTGGTTCTCTTCTCGACCTCTAAGCTCAGTGAAAAGGTCTTAGGCTGCCGTCTCTCAGCATGGGTCTCTCAGCATAGTCCAGAGGATGTCTGGTGGTGGGAAGTAAGGGAGCCACATCCTGCTGATGGGAATCAGGTTTGGTCGAGACAAAGCAGCTGGATTGTTTCATTTAATCTTGTAAGGTCATTTGTAATAACTCTGGATTTTAGAGTGGCTATAATGAAATCACAATAATGATGGAACGAAACTCACAGACACCAATGACACCACACATTTTTTAGCATTCTTGGGTCTATAAGTATTTTCACATTCACTTCATAGGTATTTTAACAAACAAAAAAAAGCTATCAACCAAATTGCCCAGCCCTGAAGCAAAAAATTATTGGAAATCTCAAGTAAGCTCAAATGCACAAGACTGTTTAATATCTTAATATCTTTCATGTGTCAAAGAACTACTTCCCATGAAGCAGTGTGAATGATGCAATACTAAATATATTTGAAGTAGAAATAAATAGTGTAAATAGTCAGGTATATATAAATATTTAATTTTTGTCTGTTGGACTGATTTGGTTGTCATTTGCAACTATGGGTGTGGCTCTCATTTCTTTGACAACACCGACTTCTCTGATTTGTGGATAAAAGGCGCTGCCATTTCAGGATTGTGGATAGTGTATTTCTTCAAAGAGAATTTAAAATATTATTCAAAGTATTTAAAGTATATATTTTGAATTGTCACAGACTGAGAAAAAAGTCTCACAGACTTTTTTTCTCTCTTTTTTCTTTTTTTCATTCTCACAGACTCTTGACATCTACAGGAGTACACTACTGTTTAAACGTTTGGGTTTGATAAGATTTTTTAAAATTATCTATTATACTCACCAAAAGCTGCATTTATTTGATCAAAATACAGTTAAAACAGTATTGTGAAATGTTATTACAATTTAAAATAACTGTTCTCTATTTTAATATATTTTAAAAATGTAATTTATTCCTGTGATGGAAAAGCTGAATTTTCAGCATCATTACCCTATAGTCTTCAGTGTCACATGATCCTTTAGAAATCACTCTAATATGCAGATTTAGAGGTCAAGAAACAGTCAAAAAGTTTTTTCAGGATTCTTTGATGAATAGAAAGTTACACCGAACGACATTTATTTGAAATTAAAAATGTTTTGTAACATTATAAATGTCTATACTGTCACTTTTGATCAATTTAATTCATCATTTGTTAAATAAAAATATTAATTTCTTACTTACTTAGTTCGTACTTGCCCCAAATGATAACGATGTTAAATGATAGCGTATCGGGTCTTGGAGAAATTTGGAGAAAATTAAAGAGATTTTTACTTCCAAAACTTGGCCTCCCCACCGAGTCTCACCTCAGCAGATGTTACAAGGCCAGGGTTCTGTAGGTGATGCTGAGAGGCCATCTTGAAAGCTTTGTGAGCTCTCTCACCCTTCTTTTTCATCTGCACTAGTCACAGAGGGAGGTTGACTCAGTCACAGCACACTTCTCAACCTGTATCAGCAGGAGTCTTCTCCCACTCACCTTCTCTGACTGACTTGAAGCCATTAATGGAAACTTTTTCTCTCTTCTGGTGGCATGGAGCAAGTTTACATGTACAGATGTTATTGTGATTGCAGGTGATAGATCCTCCTGTGCACTTTCTTTGCCACTGCAAGGTTTTGATCCCTTTGTTGTACACAAAGCGCTACTGTTTTTGGACGAAAGCTGTTCCTAAGCAGCAGTCCCTATGATGAAAGAAAATTGCTACTTGCCTCATGGAGGCTTTGCGGCATGTCAAATTCTTCATGTGTGATCAGTTCAAGGCGTTCTCACTCCCACACACTGTTTTGTTTGGTGGTAGGGAATGATCAAGAACACCATGGTTGGTGACTGTGAATAAGAGTTTGAGACTGTAAAGAGGATAGTTTTAGTGTATATATATGTGTGTGTGTGTGTGTGTGTGTGTGCGTGTGTGTGTGTGTGTGTACTTGTCTACCTATCTAAGAGGGGACTTTGGTGTCGTTACACACTCACCAACAGGGGACCGCCGAGCGAAGTGG